GCAATGGTGGAGGTGAGGCTGTCTTTTAAAACATGAGTTCTCACCTAATCACATGGCTGGTCTTTCTTATAACACCAACCCAGATAGGACCCAAGAACTCAAGAACATTGAACACACCCATAATCATGAAGAATATTCACAACTTCAAAAGCTTCAAGAATTTTCTTCAGGGCTGGAGAAATGGCTCAGAGGGTAAGAGTACCAAGTGCTCTTCCAAAGGTCCTAAGTTCAATTCCCAGCAACCACATGGTGGCTCACAACCATCTATAGTGAGATCTGGTGCTCTCTTCTGGCATGAAGCTGTACATGCAAGCATAACAATGTATACATAATAAATCTTTTTTTTTTTTTAAAGAATTTTCTTCAAAAGAAAAAAAAGGAAGAAAAAAAAGAGAGAGTGAGTGCATACCTCATGTACCTCATGAGAAAGAGGTATCCTCTTAATGCATAAAACATTAAGAGATAAGAATGAAGCTCAGGGGCTGGAGAGATGGCTCAGGGGTTAAGAGCGCTGGCTGTTCTTCCAAAGGTCCTGAGTTTAATTCCCAGCAACCACATGGTGGCTCACAACCATGTAAGATAAGATCTGGTGCCCTCTTCTGGAGTGCTGATGTACATGCAGGCAGAACACTGTATACATAATAAATAAATAAATAAATCTTAAAAAAAAAAAAAAAAAGAATGAAGCTCAAGGCCAGGCACAGTGGCACACATCTTTAATCCCAGCGCTTGGAAGGCAAAGGCAGATGGATCTCTGGAGTTTGAAGCCAGCCTGGTCTACAACGCAAGTTCCAGCAGGACAGACAGGTCTGTTACACAGAGAAACCCTGTCTTAAAACCACCCCCACCCTACTCCCTAAAAAAAAAGAATGTAGCTCAGTTGGTAGAGTACTTGCCTAGGTGAATGAGGACCAAGGTTTGGTGTCCAGTAAAGCACAACCTAGGAAGCGTGGAGCACACCCCTATTCCAGGCTTTTGGGAAGTGGAGCACGGAGAGTCAGGAGTTAAAGTCCTTCTCACCTACCTAGTAAGTTTGAGGACTACATGAGATTCCCCAAAACAAAACAAAACAGACATAAAAGCTGAGCAGAGAGTTGGGCAGGTAAAATACTTGCTGTAGTTGCTGTGCACATGAGGACTGGTGTTCAATCACCAGACTCTATGTAGAAAAGCCAGGCCTAGTGGTAGACACTTGTAATTGTAGCACCAAAAAGGCAGAGACAGATAAATGGACAGGTAAGCAGACAGCTCCTGAAGAATGACAAGTGGTTGAGCTCTGTCTTCCACAAATGGGTGCAATGAGCACACACACATGCACACTCATACACAAAAACCAAAGAAAATCACTAGGAAAACTGGGGCTCAGGGCTGAGCTAAGGAGGCTGACACAGTTAGATTCATTTAAGTTCAGGAGCTTTCTTTCAGCCGGGGCAACATGAAGAGATATCAGAGATCTTTACGGAGATAACCAAGGCCAAGCCGGAGAGATGCTCGCAGTCAAGAGTATGCTCTTCCACTCCTGTAGAGCTCAGCACCCGTCCACTATCAGGACACTCACGAGCTGCTGCAACTGCAGCTCTAGAGATCCACTGCCACTGGCCTCTGTGGGTATGTGCAGTCATGTGCATCATAATTACAAATAATAAAATAAAGTTAAAAGGTATCCAAAGACTAGTAATGTTCAATCATTTTACTACGTCCTATCCCCTATTTTGGAAGAGGATCTTGTAATGCAGCCCTAGACAGCCTAGAACTCGCTATGTAGACCTAACTGGCCTCATTATTTATGAAACTCTTTGACTCTGCCTCCCAGTGCTGAGATTATACGTGTGCATCACCACATCCATTGTGAGCCATTTTTAAAATCTGGTGTGCACTGAAATTAAGCAAACTCAGAATCATCTGAAGATTTAAACAAAAGAACTCTGCAACACTGCCAAGTAGATAATGTATCTGCAGGGGCGCTGGACACTGGACACTTGGATCGGAAACAGCAAGACAAATCACCTACTTATTAATGGTCATGGAACCAACAAACATGAAGCCTCAATAACCTTCCCCCAAAGCACAAAACCCACAAAACAAAAACATGGAAAACCAGGTGTGGTAGCTCATGACTGTAATCCAAGCACTCAGGAAATAGGGACAGGAGGATCCCACTTCAGGGTCGTCTTTGGCTACACAGTAAGTTCAAGGCCAACCTAGGCTTACATGAGACCCTCTCTCAACTATAAATGAATGAATGAATTAATTAATTAAATTAAAATAGGGAAGGTGTGGCCTTCTATGTTTTTTCAGAAGACTTATAGTTCAGATATTGCATGCAGGTCTTCAGCACATTTTGAGGGATCTTTTTGTGTAAAATGATCTCACATTTTTACATGGCAGTACCCACTTGCTTGAATTATTCAAAATATTTTTAAAGCGTCTACTTCTGTAGCCAGGTTGATCTTAAACTCACAATCCTGTGTTGAGTGCTGGGATTACAAGTGTTCCTCATCACTTTTGGCTTCTCAGCACTTATGAACAAGCCTGAGGACCTGAATTCAACCCATTGGACCCATATGGTGGGAATAGAGAACTAACTCCCTACAGTTGTTCCCTGACCTTCACAGGCCAGCCACGGCGTGTGTGTGTGTGTGTGTGTGTGTGTGTGTGTGTGTGTGTGTGTATGTGTGTGCGCGCGCGCGCACACGCACGGGACAGAGTTTAATGGCAGTGAGTTCAAGGACATCCTGGTCTACACAGCATGCTCTAGGACAGCCAGAGCTATATAGTGAGAACCATCTAAGGAAAAAAGTGGTTTGGGACGTATTTCTTCCCTGAAGCCTTTCCTACTCAAAAAGTTCTTTTTCACTTTTCCTTAATAAATCTATTTCCTATAATCTACATTTGAGTTGCTTAAAGAAAAAAAAAAAAAAAAAAGAAGCTGGGCAACGGTGGTGCACCCCATTAATCTTAGCACTTGGTAGACAGGGGTTGGCAAGCCAGCCTGGTCTACAAAGCGAATTTGGAACAGCCGAGGCTACACAGAGAAACAATGTCTAGAAAAACCAAAACCTTCAGGCCTGCCTGCACTCAGTTGCCAAGCCCTGTCTGTAAGGAAAACAAAGGGGATGGGGGCTGGATATTTCTGGGTATATACTAAAGAGTAATGAAAATACACACTTACAAAGGTAAACATGCAGCAGAGTTTAGAGCAGCACATTCACTACAAAGTAGAAACATTCACTACATTCATTACAAAGTAGAAACACCTAAATGACCATAAACTGATAATGTAGTGTGACATATCCAAATAATGGAACAAATGCAATACTGGAATGCAAACCAGGAACAGAAGGCCAAGCACACTGACAATCCAGGAAAGCGAAAGAGGGTAGATCACTTACTCAGGAGTCAAGAGTTTGCAATCAACCTAGGCAACACAGCAGACCACCACCACCACCACATCCCAAAAAAAAAAAAAAAAAAAAAAAAAAGGGAAAAAAGAAAAGAAAAAGAAAAAACCAAGGGCGACATTTAATGATAACTATCACCACCATTCAACCACAGGATTTAAAAAATCCAAGTAGAAGACCTGCAATCTTCACTATTATACTCTGAAGGGAGGGGTGTAGCTCACATGGCTGGTGAGGTGGCTCAGTGCTTAAGGCCACTGCTGCTCCTCCAGAGGACCCTGTTTCAATTCCCAGCACCCACATGGTGGCTCACAATCACCTGTATGTAACTTCAGCTCCAGGCGACCCAGATCTCCATTACAGCAGGCGAGACGGTATACATACAAACACATACTCAGAAATAAACCTGCAGGTGCTGGGCGTGGGATACACACTTTTAATCCCAGCACCACTCAGGAGGCAGAAGCAGGCAGATTTCATGAGGTCAAGACCAAGTTGGTCTAGGCCATCCAAGGCTACATAGTTAGTCCTTGTCTCAAAAAAAAAAAAAAAAGATTAATTAAAACAAATAAAAATTTAAAAAAGAGGCTAACTCTACTGTTAATAATGCATAAGTGGAAGCAAACAAGGAAATGAAATTGCTATTTGACATCTTAAGTCAAATAAACAGAATATTACTTGCCTACTTCCCCACCACCAACACGCTAAACAAGGTATTGATTATGCACACCAATTTGATTCAAATGTTGTAGCCAGATACAATTTTTAAAATTTAAATTCCTAATTTGTAAGAGGTTATACAGAAGAGGAGAAAGAGGAGGAGGAAGAAGAGGGAGAAGGAGGAAGAAGAGAGAGGAGGAGGAAGAGGAAGAAGAGCATAATTAACCGAGCAGGGATGAAATGGCCTAACTGTAATTTCCTTTAAATACGTTAGCAAAGGGAGAGGGGGAAAATATATAGGTGAAACATCGGTGAAAAATATTGACAACTGTTGAATGTGAGTGACACAATTCAAGGGGGGGGGGGTCAGCTCATCTTTCCTCTCTCAAATGTTTGCTTACAAGGTTTTCACTGAGCCAGAGGCCGGAAGATCGCCACAAGTTCGAGGCCAGCTTAAACTACCTACTGAGTTCCTGTTTAATCTAAGGCTACGAACTTCGTCTTCAAAAAAAGAAAGAAAAACAGTTTTCAGCAGTAGCTCTTCCAAAACTGAATTCTTTGCAAATGAAGTTACCATCCTGCTTGTTCGGGTGCGGGTGCTCTAGCCCTCGGAAAGGGAGCAGGCTGTGGGGTCTAAGGCAGAGGCAAAGCGGCTTCTGGCGGGACCGACACTCAAGCTCCGCGCCACCACGCGGACCAAAGAACGCGCACGCTTCATTCAGGGCTGAAGCTGACAAATCACTCTCCGGGAACGCTCGGGCTCAGAGAACCGCGGAGCTCAATTTGGAATCGGCACACGCCGGAGCACCCGAGCAGCTCGGCGGGGAGAGCCCTCGGGTCTCGGCCCAGGGCAGGGCCGGGCGCCGGGCCCCCGGGCTCCGTCCCCGGACCCTCCGCTCGGTGCCCACGTCGCACCTCGGCCTCGCCCCGCCCGCCTACCTTCAAGCTCCAGTTCGTCCGAGTCGGTGTCGCTCTCCTCGTTGTCCTCCTCGGCGGTGGCCGAGCCGACGACCTCCTGCTCCTGAAAGGCTGTCGCGGGGGTGATGACCGTGTCCGAATCCTGGGCGCGGGCCTCGCGTAGGCATGTGAAGTACTCCACCGCGAAGTCGATGAGATCGGGCGGCTGCCGCCGCAGCACCTCCACGGTGTAGCCCTGCAGCAGCTCCGTGAGCCCCGGCGGGATCTGGATGTGGCTCATGCCGGCGACGGCCGAGGGGACCGGCGGGTCGGGGGCGCCGGCCGCCGCAACCTGCACGCTCCCTCACGCCGGCCTGTCACTCGGCGCCCGCGGTCTCCCGCGCGGCCCGCCTCGGCCTTCCTCGCGTCGCGCCTTCTTTCGGCCCCGGTTGGCGGTGGTTGTGGGGGCCGCGCGACCCTTCCGCTAACAAGCCAGCCTGGCGCCGCCGCTGCTGTCACCCGGCCGCAGCCGCCGCCGCCGCCGCCGCGGGGACCGACGGTCTGGCGAGCTGGACGGGCGCGGTAGGCGCCTGGGTTGTGACGCACGCGGCCGCGGGCGTGCGCGTTCCCGCCGAGAGCTGGCCCACAGCGCGCGTGCGCCGCTGAGCCGCCGGCCCTCGGAGCAGCCCATGGCCAAGGTGCGGGAGGCCCCGGACATGAGGAAAGACAGGTCCAGCTGCGGGGCAGAGGCAGGCCGGTCGGTGCGCCTTGCCTGGTCACAAAGACCTTTCCCTTATGCTTTCGGAACACACCGAGAGCCTCTTAACGGAGCGCCGGGGACCCTGACACGACACAGGACCACCTCACCTTGATCCCTGCTCTAGTGGAGGACCAGAGGGTTTACTCTAGGGAATGCCGTTAATGCTAACCCCAACTACTGAACAGGACTCGCCCAGAGGAAGATCTGGAGGGAAGTCGGCTGAGAACACAGTGCAGCAAAAACAAAGACCCGGTCAAGTCAGGACCACTTGACTGACAGGTGCGACTCCGAGGTCCTAAGGAGTCTAGTAGGAGGTCGTGAGACGTCAAAAGGGAAGGCTTTGTAGGAAGTGAAAGTTTCAGTGAGATAGGCGTTTGGGAGCCTCGGGCAGACAATGACCCAGAAAGGTCTCGCTCAGCCAATTGTGGACAGTGAGAAAAGGGAGTAAGGCCTGGAGCTGGGCAGACCTTTAGGCTAGTTCCTCTTTTTCGACACTTCCAATCCTGGTCCTCAGGTCTAAACTTGCACGCCTCCTTCCCCACTCACAACCCTGGGCCTTGAGCCACACCATTCGGTGAAGTTGAGCAGACCACAGGCACTGGGAAGAGGGCAGAGGTGAATCAGAGAGGCCAGGCTGTTACCCAACTTGCTCCCTCCTGTCAGCAAACTTGAATAGAGCAAAAGAAGTTACAAGCCTTCCTGGGATATCTAGCCAAAGACCCAGTGAGAACACAGCCCTTCCCCTCCCTCCCAGAACCAGCAAGCAACTGATTAGCTGCCGATGTGGGAGGGAACCTGAAGGGTATCCCGAGGAGCGGTTAAACACCACCTGGTAATTACCCACTATTAATTAAGATCTTCAGTAGCACCGCCCATATAGGCTTGGCACAAATCCAAGACCTCAGTGCTGCTGGGATCTGAGCTGCCTGCAGTGACAGGGGAATGCCTTAATGAGGTACTCAGTGGTGAGGCCAGCCCAGGCCCTAGGCTAGGTAGATCTGCGAGGCCCTGAATATGGTCCTTAACCCCACAGAGAAATGTTGGATGTTGAGTGGTGGCGAAGCAATGTCCAAGTGTTGCCTGTGCACTCATGGCATAGAGATTGAATGAATGAATGAGTGAGTGAACGAATGAATGATAAATTCCAGCAACTACAACAAAAAAGGCAGAGGCTGCTCTTCTGACTTCATATTCATAACATGTATCCTTTCCTTCAAAGCCTTGTTTCTAATCACAGAACGAGAACAGGGAGACCTCACTAAAGACAGGTAGCCAGGGGATGGGCATGGCAGCAAATGCTTGTAATCCCAGCTGCAAAGTGAGTTCAAGTCTAGCCTGGGTTACATGAGACCATTTCAAAAAAGAGCCAGGCATGGTGGCACCAAAAAAAAAAAAAAAAAGTGGATATTGGCTGCTTGGCTGTCCTGAGCTCCCTTTGTAGACTAGGCTGGACTTGAGCTCACAAAGATCCTCCTGCCTCTGCCTCCCAGAGTTCTGGGATTACAAGTGTGAACCTGGCCAGACTAATTCTTATAAGTTTTCCAGGATTCATACCCTGCCATTAGAACCCAGAAAATGTGGGTATGGCTCCCATTGCAACATAATACCTAGGGAATTGCCTCTCTTCAGGCAATCCCACAGCCAACCTTTTGGAAAGGTAGATTCACAAGCCCAAGCCCTAGTCTCCTCACAGTATCAGGTCTTGTATGTTTTAAATGGAGCACAAGCATATATGAAGAGCTAGAACACTGGCCTCAGTTACAAAATAGAGGAGAGAAAAGCTGTTGACAGAGCTGATGTGGACAGGGTCTCCCGGTGCACTGAAAGCCTACTGGCCTCTGCCAGCAGTCTGGGTTTCCTGACTTGTTCACAGATGCAGCACAGCTCAACCACCTGGATCTGTCCAGCAGACAGAGGGCACCCTGACCTAGTTTAGCAGCACATTAACTTGCAGTCCCCATTACTCAGGAGAATGAAGCAGGGGAAACACTCTTGTGCAGTTTGAGGCCAGCCTGGGCGATGCAGAGAGAGCTCTGTCCTTAAAAAGAAAAAGAAAGGAAGGAATAAACAAAAAGAAAGAGAGAGAGAGAGAAAGAAAGGAAGGAACAGAAAAAAAGAGGGCAGGTTGGGGCTGGAGAGATGTCTCAGCGGTTAAGAGCCCTGTTGCTCTCACAGAGGATCTGGGTTGGATTTCCAGCAGCCACGTAGCAGCTGACAACCATTCATAACTCCAGTTCCAGGGGATCCACAGAGGCTGCAGATCTCTGCAGACACACATGGTGCATATACAGGCATGGAGGCAAAACACTCAAACATATAAATAAATCTTAAAAACAGGTGTTTTGAAGAGAGGCCAGGGTGTAACCCAGTGACAGAGGTTGTACTTTAGTACCAAGCCTAAGTGGGTTCAACACCAGGAGCAACAACAAAAGGCCTGAAGTGAACAGAAATTAGACACCCTACAGCTGCTCCTTATCTGTCTCCACGTATCAGACTCACAGTGAAGTTAGACAGCTTGTAGGTCCAACCTGACCACCTCCACTATCCTTCAATAATGAGAAGAGTAGCAAGGGCTACCATGAATGCCCATTTCCACTAAAAAGCCTTGTAACAAAAGAGAACACCAGGGACCTGAGCCCTGCATCTTCAACCTTTGTCCTGAATCCATCCTGCATTCATGCCTGTCCAGCGACACCACTGACTGTTACCATGGCAACCAAACCCACCACAGCCAGTGCTGACAAACAGCTGCTAAGAACAAGTGACAGTGGTGGGTGGAAAAAGCCTAGAGCAGAAACCTTCAGGAGCAAGAGCAATCCAGCAGATGAGGCCCCTCACTCTACGGTGTCTTCCTCACAACCCCTATACTAATGAACGTCTTGCACAGACCACCAGCAGCCACACCACAGATAGAGACAGGAACACAGTGAGGCTAATTCTCAAAGGTGTTTACAACCTCGGATTCGGAGTTTGCACAGGTGGGGCACATGCTGTTTAGCCCAACGGCAGGGAGGGTCTTATGGAAGAAAATTTAGGCAGGGTACCAACTGCGGTTTCCAGTAAAATAGTGACTCTCCTATACTCTTAATAGCTTTATTACTTAAAACCATTCCCCTCCCCAAGGGAGGGAGAAGCGAATACTCCTTGAAGTCTTGCCCTTGGCCCAGGTCCCAAATTACTTACCTCATACCTTTTATCTACTCAGGGAACTCAGCTCCAGTGGAAACACAACCCACTCACCTAACCAAGAGGCCATTTGACCGCCTTAAACTCTTGATTCTCCTGCTCCCACTTCTGGAGAGTTAGGATTACAGGCATGTGTCACCATGCTCAGTTTGTTCAGTGTTGAGGACTGAATCAAGGGCATGCTTGACAACACTCTTGTGTCACACCCCCAGCTCAGCTTCTTCAAGCTCCTCCAGTCCCCACTGTGCACTGGAACCTGCTAGTCACCTGAGCACCTCCGTACAGCAGTCCCTCACTGTCCCAGTCCTCTCAGTTCATTTTCTACCTACACTGTCTGGCTAACCTTAGGAGTACTCATGAGCCTCTGATTAGCAGGAGAGATTGGGGAACTTTGCCCTCACCCATGAGGTGCAGTCTTTGATCTAGGAGGTCTGATCTATTTTAACAAACATCCATGCTCCAGGGAGCAGTTAATTCCACGGCCACCTGTTTCTGTACCTGTGAGCCAACCCCTTCTTTCCTGGGACACTGTGTCCCAAGAAAGTGTCAGTGTCTGCAGAAGACATTGCTTGCTTTTGAGATACCTGAGGGCAAGGAAAGAAACTGGGAAGCACAAGAAACAACCCTGGAGAGATGAGAGCCTTTGTATATTTACCGTAGCAGAGAAAGCAGAAAAGGGAGCCCTCAGGGAGCAGCAGCCCTGAGGCCTTTTCAGTGACTGTCAGAACTCTACTTGACAGTCTTGGCTTGACTCACAGGCCAAGTCCCTGGGCCTTGACCCAGAAATACAGACAGGTCTAAAGCAGCCTTGGTCAAGTTAGCCCCAGGACAACTTCTGATAACATCACAGGAGTGTCCTCAGGCCACCTAGACACACCTAAACACACTGTCCCTACTCAGTTACAGACTTGCTAATGATCTTTGCAGGCCACTTCATCCTAGCTGGGCCTTCTACATCTGAAAATGAAGATAAAAATTATATCTAACTAAATATTGAGTTCAGTGAGGATAGATTTGAGAGAATGGAGAGGGATCGCTCACTGGCAGAACATACAATCTAACCACTAGTTTTGATTTTCTTTTTTATAACAGGGAATTGAAGTGAAGGCATCACATCTTAAGCAAGCACTAGTCATCTGCCATATCCAGTCCAGGACCTTTTTAGGTTTTATTTTGAGTTAGTCTCACAAAGTTGCCCAGGCTGGCCTTGAATTCACTCTGTATCACAGCTGGCCTTGAACTTGTGATCCTTCTGCCTCAGCCTCCTCAATAGCTGAAATCATGGGCCTGTACTATACCCTAATATTGATAAATGAGGAAGAGAAGGAAATATGGAAATGAGAGAATATGAAGAAGTCAAAAGGTATAGGAGATGTTTGTACAGTGGAACATGCCTGAAATCCCAGCACGTGGGAGACCAAAGCATGAGGATCACAGTTCCAAGAGCCAGATGAGCTACATAGCAAGTTTAAGGCCAGCCTGGGTTACACAACAGGATGGAATCAGAGAATGAAACAAGTATGTGTGTTTAAGGGGTTGGGGGACTAGATTGTGCTTCGAGCCTCAAAAGGCTGCAGAGAACAAAATGCATCCCTTGTATCAGTAGTGCGACTGTGCTTCTGAAGGGCACTGTTGCAACAGCCTGCCCTGTCCCTCACCCTTAGCCCAGTTTGAACTTTTTTTTTTTTTTAATTCTGATCCAGGGCACTCTCCCTGGGCACTGTCTGGCTTCCATTTGACTATGACAGAGAAATCACTGGGGAGGTCCCACATTCCCCACCTCTACCCCATCCCCCACACTCCTGTCAGGAAGAGATATATAAGGAACAGGTGGCATTTCAAAGTACATCATAAAAGCAAGCCCTGGCTGGGAGGGCGGTCACTTGCCATCTGCCCTGTTCCTTTCACAGACATGCCTCCAGGGGCTTCTCTGTTTGACTTCACATCCTCTCAAAGTGCAAAGGGATAAAATAAGGCCCCATCATGAATATCAAGGAAGCCAAACACTCCACTTTCAGATGTGAAGTATCTCCAAGGGAAAATGATCTCACACCATGAGAACGGCTGGCATTTGGCTGAAATGCAAATACTCCAACTCAGTCTAGGGCAGAGGTTTCCCAACAGTTTCATTTCCTGGGGAATATGAAGAGACTGGGTGGCTCTGAGAGGCTGCACTATTGTCCTTTTCTGAAATCTCTCTCCTCCTTCAAGTCTGCACTTAAAATCTAAAGTCTGTACTCTCCCTCATCACATGCTAACTTGGCTTAAAAGAGAGAGAACACTTCAGGGAGGCATATGGTCATGTCCTAGTAACTGAGGTACTACAGATCCTCCAGCAGTAAGAGAGGGAGACTTAAATTAACCTTCCTGGGGAAAAGGGCCCCCAGTTTTCGTCCTTTTAAAAAGTTACTTAGGACTGGAGAGGTATCTCATCAGATAATAGCATTTGCTATATAAGCATGAGGATCTGAGTTTAAGTCTCCAGAACCCATGCTAAAACCTGGGTGGGTGTGATCATATATGCATGGGTGTGTAACCCCAGCAATATGAGGGGCAGAGAGAAGATCAGCCCCAGCCTAGCTCCAGTTCAGTGAGAGACTACCTCAGAGGAACAAGGCAGAGAGAGAAACAGCAGGAAACCCAGCTTCCTCCTTTGGCCTCAGCACCTGTATATAAATTCCTGTACCTGTGCAGACACACATACACTCACCTTCAATATGCCTAAACATAAAAATGCTTACACATATGCACCTGTAAACACACACAGATAAAATGCTATTTTCAGCCAGGTGTGGAGATGCATACTTGTAATCCAGCATTTAAGAGGACCAGGAAGTCAAGGTTATCCTCAGCTACATAATGAGTTTGATGCCAGCCTGGGCTACATGACAGTCACCAGTCTCAGAAAAACAAAAAGGGGACAGGGTGAGATGTCTTATCAGTTAAGAGCACTTACCAGGAGAATCTGAGTTTGACTCCCAGTACCCTCATCAGGCAGCTGTAACTTGAGCTCCAGGGACTCTGACACCTCTGGCCTCCTCAAGCACCTGTACTCATGTTCACATACCCACATGCAAACACACACACATATACACACAATTAAAAACCAGAAAGATTTTATTTAAAATTGAAATTTTTATTTTTGGCTGAGGATGTAGCAAAGTTGGCATTGCCTAGTGCTTACCTAGCATGCATAAAGGCCTGGCTCATTCCCCAGCACCTTGTAAACTGATCTTGGTGATGCATACTTGTAATCTCTGTACTTGTGAGGGAGTGGAAGGATCAGAAGTTCAAGGATATCCTCCTCAGCTACACAGAGAATCCAAGGCCAGGCTGAGCTACATAAGACCCTGCCTTGAACAAACAAGATATTTTCTACTTAGCCATAGTTGTGGGTTTTTCTCGCCCCCCCCCCCCCCGAGACAGAGTTTCTGTGTGTAGCCCTGGCTGTCCTGGAATGCTTTCTGGTCGTAAGTCTGAAGATTTTTACTATATTTTATTATTGGGGGTTGTACATACACCATGGCACATGTGTGAAGGTCAGAGGACAACTTACAGGAGTTCATTCATTCTCCTTCCAGGGATCAGATTCAGGTGGTCAGTCTTGGTGGCATATGTCTTTACCCTCTGAGCCACAATTCTCAGTTGATCATTCAGAAATATATTTTTTAAATAATTTATTTGTATTTTACGTACAATGGTGTTTTGCCTGCCTGTATGAGGGTGTCAGATCCCCTGAAACAATTGTGACCTTCCATGTGGTTGCTGGGAGTTGAACCCAGGTCCTCTGGAAGAACAGTCAATGTTCTTAACCGCTGAGCCATCTCTCCAGCCCCTTCAGAAATATACTCTTTTGAAAACAGCTTTCTTCTTTGAACTCTCTAATCTTCATCTTCCTGAAAGGTTAGCTGCACAACCCCGACTCCCAGGTGAGGTATCTCTGTCTCTCTCATCCTCTAGGTGATGGTTCCAAAGCCAAAGTCCCAAGGATCTCTGTGCAATGGGACAGGAAGTGACACTGGAACTATCTTTTTTGGCCAGGCAGGACAGTGCCAGAAAAGCAAAGCTCCCCTCAGGAAGCTCTTCCCCCACTAATACAAGGACCATGTGTCTTAGGACTCCACATCCAGCTTCTTCCAACATCTTCTGGCCACACCTGCTTATCAATCATCACAGTATAATGAAACAAACCTGGAGAGCCCACACAGCAAATGCCAGACCCACAGCCACCCCCTAACTCAAGACTGCGTTTGTCCTTTCAGAACAACTGACTTTCCATCTATAAACTCAGATAGCCATGTGGCTCAGCACAGAAAGGAGAAGGAGCGAAAGGATGGATGACAAGCCAGGTCTTGTGGCAGCATGCCTGCCTGCCCAACAGACACTAAGTACTCTATGAACAATTTTTCATCAAGTCTCCCTGCCCCACCCAGAAGATCAAGAGCCAGAGAAGTCCAGGTCAGCCAAAACTTCCTCCTTCCATCCTAGAGGCCCAGCCTATGGCCCCCAGGAATGGACACTTGATTCCTGACAGTCTCCAAGGCACAGCTGAACTCTGCTGAAGTGTGCCCAAATGACAAGAGAAAATATCACACAGTGCAAAAAGTAGAAACAATATTTATTGTTTCCTGTTAAAACTCAGTGCTCTCATGGGGCAAGAATGTGCAAAAAGAGCCTTCCTACATTATGGCTTCCACAGTCATCCCAGGAGGCTGGGGCTGTCTTCATTGTGTAGGACAGAAAATTCTCCACCTTCTTTTGGAAATTTAGGTAATTCGACTTACTTATTTTGTTTAAAAATGTCAAAAAATAGTAGTTACTTGGTGGTGGTCTGTTATTAGGTATACTACCTAGTCCATATGGTAGATGGATGTGTGCTTCACATCCACAGCTCTGTGTATAGCCTAGAGGCAGATGCTACCATAGGCATCTGTTGGTTTTCCTGGCTAGCGATTAAAGATCCCAGCTCCTACTTTGGCTGGCTGAAAATAGGAGAGGGGCCCCCGAGAGTCAGCCATCAACTCTTTAGTGAGGAGTATTTTGAGTGTAGTGGGCCATCAGTCAATCAGGTGGCAATTTGGCCAAAGGTAGTGAGTAAGTCTATAAACTATTTATTCCATCTCCAATTCTCTGCAAATCTTGTAAATTCAAGTTTCAAAATGGCACCAAGTTATACAAGGTAGAGGATGTTGTTAAGGCAACAGTTTCACCATCATAGCCATGAGGGGAACTCTGATCTCGCCATTTCCCTCCCCTCACTGGGTAGCCTCAGGACTACCCAGTCCTGCCCACTGCTTCTCAGCAACAGTTGTCCAGCATCCACAGGTCTTGAACAGTCTTCAGCCTCACAAATTGGGGGCAATCCAATTAAGTACCTTCATGGCAACTTCAAAGCCAAGGAAACAGGCCTAAGAAGAGGTTGGGTTGAAAAGAAAAACCGGCAAGAGAGGGTGACCATTTTTAGATTCCATCTGCTTGGTTAGTCCTGTCAATACCAGAGCCCCTCCCCTAATCCCAATCCCCCACCAGATTAATGGAGCAAATTAAACTGGCTGTGGCAATGAATGCCTGTGCACACAATACTCCAAATGCTAAGTCAGGGAGATCTCAAGTTTAAAACCAACTTGGACTACATAGTAGGGACCTGCTAAAAGAAGAAAGAAGAGATGGGGAGAAGGCAGAGGAGAGGGAAAAGGAAGCTACAGTCATTTCCTTGGGAGTGAAGCATGCATGCTAAGCTGGCTGTGGTGACACACTCTTACAATCCTAACACTTTTACTGGGAATTTGAGGGCTGAGTGGGCTACACACAGAGACCTTGTTTAAAAAAAAAAAAAAATGATGGGAGGGATGGGAAGAGTAAGATGAGAGAAGGAAGAGATGAAAAAAAGAAAAAGAGAAAATATATGTCCTGCAACTGCCACTTGTGATAACCAGGTCAAGAGATTCAAATCCCTGACTTAAAGTGCTCTAAGAGCTGGCAGCTACAGGGAGACGAGAGGATGAGGAAGCAGCTCTGGCTGGGCCTGGATGCTGAGTGTCAGTGCAATCCCCAGAGAAAGAAAAGGCAGCTCCTCCCTGAGTCCCGAGGGAAAATCACAGCCCCTGTCAGATACTCACTGCATTGGCTGGGAAGGCGCGTATCATTACTGCATTGAACCCTTTGTACAAGGAAGTGACTCCTTCTTCCCGGATCAGCTCTCTCAGCACATCTCTGAAACCATTAGGATATTTTCCAGGAGGTGCTGTAGGGCAGAACCCAATTTTTTTTAAGCTCCTAGAAGCTTTGTAACTCGACCATGGCAACCCACATGAGGACGATCTAATAATTAAATCTGTCAGGTCAGAGCTGGCACGAGGGAAGAATACCTTGAAGGCCACACTTACAAGTAGTTCATAACTCAGCTCACGCTGGGCAAAGACATAAACATCTGGACTTCTGGTGCCACGAGAGTTAAACATGAGTTCAACAGCCTCCATTCAAGTTGGAGAGGGAAAACAGACTGTTTCATTTTGTATTTAGGCTGACATGAAAGCAAATCTAGACTGTAGATGTGAAAAATACTGGTCAGGCAGATGCTGGGATTATGCCATGGAAAAGAGAAAATATACCCTGAGTCTTAAGACGTGGCACTCACCAGATATGGTGGTGCACCCTTGCTATGGGAAGTAGAGGCAGGAGGAGCAAGAATTCAAAATTATCATTTTTTATACAGCAAATGAGAAACCAGCCTAGGCTGCGAGCCTTCCTCAAACAACAAACAAACCCTCTGCACCCGGGATGGACAGTGCTGGGGTACTCCAGCCACTCCACTCACCAGTCTGGAAGCGAGACTTGAGCACATCCGGGGGGATTGCCACAGCCCAGTTGAAGATCCCTGCAAAGCCTCCAGCCACCAGGATCCGAGGGACACTGAGGTCGCTGACACTGCACAACACCACAACCCCTGTCAGACAAAAGCCTGGCAGTGCCTTCAAACCAGTCCCTCCACTATACTTGGGAAAGAAGTTACTGGAAGGGCTTCAGCCCAGGGAGGAGGGCCAAGGTATGAGACCTGGCTGCTGCCGCTCTTGTTGGAGGTTCCACAAGTTATTTAAAAGACTTCTGCATCGAGTAAGGCACAGGGTAAAAGATGTGAGCTGTAGTCCAGCAGCTACTAAAGGAACAATTACACGGAGCCACAGACAGATGTGTCTGCTTCAGACCCACTTATGGGAGAGGACAACCTATCCAGTTGTGGGAAAATGGCTTTTACATTCTAATGTTCTTTTCACCTCTTTCCCTCTGGAGTGAAGAGATTTTTAAGCCATTCGTACGTCATGAAATACATCCCACTGGATGGAACATCTGTTGGGTGGCAAGAAAAAGGTGAATTAAAAATTGATAAAATCTCCAAGATGGGTACTAGACTATTCAAGGATTCTCAAGTTTTTTTTTTTTCTAAATAGTTTGTTTTTTGGGTTATAATTACATCATTTCCCCTTTTCTTTCCTCCCTCCAGACCCTCGCATGTACCACCCCGTTCTCTCTCAAATTCATGACCTCATTCTCTGTTTTATTTATACATGCATACATATACTATATAAATGTATATTATATTTATACTACATATACACACATATATACTATAAATACATAAGCACAGCCTGCTCAGTCTGTATGTTACATCTTCTGGGACAGCCAATTCGTTCTTCCCTGGGGAAGATCCTGAGAAGTTCTAGCAGCTACATCCTTTTCAGTTTAGTTGTTTGTTTGTTTGTAGCTTTTTATTTTATTCTTTATGTGTATGAGTGTTTTGCCTGCGTGTATGTCTGTGCACTCTATGTACAGGCTGGCTCTAACGTAGAGATCTGCCTGCCTCCGCCTCCCAAGTGCTGGCATAAAGGAGTGCTCCGCCGCCTCCCAGCTACACCCTGTTCTTAAGAATCCCTCTGCAGCTATCAGATACTGCTGGCAGCCAGGCACCTCTGAGTGTAAAGATGATGTCATTCACCTTCCAGGTCTCCTGTCAGTGGTCACCACTGGCATATCCACTAAGCAGCTATAATCACAGCTAACTGTTTGAACTTCCTTCAAGATGCCGGGATAGACTGTCTCTGCCTCAGAAATTCTGCCTGTCAAAACCAAGAGGACGTCTGGGAGTATACCTCAATGGTAGAGCACTGCCTCGCATGCACTGAGGAGATTCCCACTACTAGTCTTTATTTTCCCCCTCTCAACCCTTCAGCCACAATTTCTGTCTAGTAGCCACTGCCTTCCACCCCTGAAGACATTCAGGAAGGGTGCACTTTCTCTGTGTCCATACTGGGGGAGGCTGCCTATAACCAGGACACATATATTGTTTTGTAGGCGCATTTGTCATCACTGACTAGAAATCCAGGGCAGATTCTCAGTGGCGGACTCATCAGCTGACCTTCCTGGTGACCTAACATGCAGATCTTCAGAGTTTACCTCGCATGAGAGTGAGCACAGTCCCTTTGTAGAAGCCCTGGATCCCAAACTCCTGGTACAGCTTCTTTGCGCAGTCCAGGGTACCATTGTATTTGTTTTTCCCTGTTGAAGCCTGAATCTGGGAGGGATGGAAAGTCATCAAGTCAAAAACAGCAACGTTGGCACTGACAGACGCAGCACGTCTGGGGCTTCCTGGCTAGCCAACCTAGCTGAATCACTGAGCCCAGGCTAGCCAGAGACTCTCAAAAGACAAGGTAGGTGAACCCTTAGGGACAAGAGCTGCTCCCTGCCTCCACACGCACATGCTTATGTGTGTGTGTGCCAACAAGATGCCAGAGATGTTAGAACTGTCTGACAAAGATTTTAAAGCAGCTATCAAATAAAAATCCTTTAATGAAAAATTTTTAATATACTTGACACATAAAAAGAGCCACAGTGAAGAAAATGGAGAGTTTCAGCAGAGAAACTAGTATAAAGAAGAACCAAACATAACTTCAAACTGAAAAATAAAACTTAAATAAAAGACCTAATGGATGCCTCACTCAACAGCAGCCAACAAGGAAAAGGATCCAGAAACTGTTACAATGGAGTCAGTCAACTTAAAGAAGAGACCAGGTATGGGCTATCAACTCTGTAATCCCAGCATGTGGGAGGTGAGCTGCAGGAAGAATTGGAGTTCCCTCATTCCCAGCTACATAGTACGTACAAGGTTAGCCTGGGTTTATCCCTTTGCTGGATGGGTGGCACATGCCTATAATCATAGCACTCGAGAGACAGAGGCAGGAAGATTATTGCTACTTCAGGGCCAGTGAAGTGAGTTCCACACCAACCTAAGATATATAATAAGATTTTATTTTTTATTTTGTTTTAAAGACTGTCTCTAACAACCAAACACATGGCACCTTTAATGCCAGCACTCTGCAGGCAAAAACAAGCAGAACTCTGTGAGTTAAAGGCTAGTCTGCTCTACATAGTGAGTTCCAGGCCTGCAAGGACTATTAATTGAGACACTGTCTCAAAAAAAGAAAAGAAAAATGGACAGTGAGATGACTTAGTAGTAAGGGCACTTGTGTAAACTTGATCCCCAGGACCCCTATGAAGTTAGGAGAGAACTGACCTATAAAGTCGTCCTTACAGTCAAATATGTACTGTGTGGCTCATTCCAAATATTATTTTTTAAATTTTCTTTAGAAATAACAACAAAAACCAGGCATGATGGTGCATGCCTATAACCCCAGCAACTGAAAGGAAGGGGCAGGAGGACCAGGAGTTCAAGGCTACTATTCTCTACATAGTAAGTGTGAGACTAGCTTGAGCCACTTGAGACTCTGTTTTAAATGCAAACAAAAATTCAATAAAACCCAAAACAAAACAAACAGAACTAAAATAGCACAGTAAGTGAATAAAATGTCATATGATGCATCTGCCCTTGTCAGCAGCATTTCAGAAAGGGAAAGGTCATCCAAGGGGGCTGAACTGAGGACTTCATACTCTATCACTGAGCTATGGCCTGCCCAAGATGCTGCATATGTCCATTTTACTGCCCCAAAGTGCAGTAGATGCCATACTATAATTTTGCTTTTGTGTTTCAGTTTTTTGTTTGTTTTGAGACAGAGTCTCTATATAGCCCTGCCGTCCTAGAACTGTGTAGAACACACTGGCCTTCAACTCACAGAGATCTGCCTGCCTCTGTTTCCTGAGTGCCAGAATTAAAGGCATGTGCCACCACGCCTGATTTGTTCTATAATTTTCTAATTTCAAGAACATCTGAATCTGGCCCTGCCTGCAGTGCTAGCACTCTGGAGGTGTAGGCTGTAATCAGAAGTTCAAGGCCACCCTCTGGTATAGATAAAGCCAATTTGAGGATACCTGTGTTCTTTCTAGTGCTGTGTTATTATAAACGAAGATGCTGTATATATTTGCATAAAGACATTTAAGTGTTTATTTCTCTGAACTAAATGCCCAGGAATACAATTGCTGAGTTGCATAGTTGTACAATTGTTGTTTGGTTGGTTGGTTTTGTTTTTCATTTTCATTACTGGTGCTTTGATGCAGGGTATCCTAACGTAGCCTAGGTTGACCTACAACTCTATGTAGCCCACTGTAACACTGAACTTATGGCAAGTCTCCTGCCTCAGCCTCCTGAGTTCTGGGATTATAGCTATGAGCCACACAACGCTTGAACTCCTCCTGCCTCACTTCAGCATTTGCCTATAGCTGACATCTAGTTCTTGATTCTTTCATGTTTTTGAAAACTTTATTTTGTACAACTGACTTAAAGACTTCACAGAGGAAAAAAGGACATAAACCCAGGCATGGCAGAATATGCCCATGACCCCAGCAGTTGCTTGTAAGCTAAGCATGGGGACAGACTGAGGCAGAAGGATCATGAGTCACACAGCAAGACTGTGACTTAAGACAGAAACCCACAATGCAACTAACAGGCATGCAAAACAGTGTGTTTGTTTCCTCCTCACAGCCCACAGCCTTACCTGCAGCAAGCATTTGATCCGTTCTCCAGGGGTCATGATTCCAGTAGTAAACACTCCAGATAACATCCCAGCCATAAACAGCTGTGGGTAGCTGCATTGAGAACAAAACCCAAAAGCAGCCATCTGAGGTTATCCACCAAGGGTGGATGCCATCCCAGCAGGGACCGTTCCCTAAAAAGGATCTTGTGTTTTCACAGGACACCATGTGGACACCACAAACACCTGCCGTACCTGCTACTCCCCTATCTGTGAGTGCTGAGTCTACCTGGGTGTCTAAACAAAAAAACAAACCAAACTCCTTTCCATACTAAATGGCAGGTAGGAAGGTCATTGCAGAAAGGCGGAGAGGATGCTGGGGATGGGGTCCAAAGTGCCTCATTCTGCTCCTAAAGAAAGGCTGTTTCTCTGGTTGCTGTGTGGGAACACAGCCCAAAGCATGACACAGCTCTGAGCTGTCACATTGCAGGACATGTATCAGAGATGATATATATCCCTAGGACTTTGATCTGCCAGTAGTCAACAGCTTCAAAAAAACTACCAGACCTGGGGGCCCTCACAGTATCTAGACACATGCAGAACATCATGACTCTAGAAATGGAATTTCACATTACAAACACCTTTATCTGTATCTTGGGCCCTTACTCATATGGGCTGAAGTGGAGACAGAACAGAATACAACCATATGGCACCCTGATTCCTCCCTTGAGTTCTTAGATGCCACGCCTTGCCAGCCTTGATGGTTGTTTCCTGCAGCCTTTCCAGGGGTTGTTACCTGCATGGCTCAGGACCAAGGAAACCTTGTCAAATCCAGAGTTTCACTCAGAATTCCTCTTCATCCCAAGACACTTATACATTATTTTTTTCAATGTTGAGGTATAATTCTGACTTAGTTGTCTGCTTATACCCAAACTAACTCTACAAACTTACTAAAACACAAAAACATACAAGGGACTGGATATATGGCTGAGTAGTTAAGAACCCGGGTGCTCTTCCAGAGAACCCAGGTTTGACTCCCAGTACCCACAGCGCAGCTCCAAAGAGCCTGAAATGTCAGTTCCAGGACATCTGACGCCCTCTTCTGGCTTTCTCAGGCACTGCAGGTAAACAGGTATGCAGGCAAAACACCCATACACATTAAACACAAAATAAAATATAAAAAAATGTAAAGGGCTGGAGAGATATTCAGTTGGGAAACTGCATGTGCAAGACCCTGAGTTCAATCCCCAACCCTGCTAAAGCCAGGGTGGTATACAACTGTATCCCAGGACACAATAGGTGCATGCAAAAGAATCAGGTGTTCAAGGTCATCTTTGCTACAGAGTCCTTTTTCAAAAAATGTTTATTTACTCTACATCCTGGTAACAGTTTCTCCTCCTCTCCTACCAGTCCTTCCCCCATCCACCCCTGTTTCTCTTCAGAAAAGGGGAGGCCTCACAGGAAGTCCTTTTTAAAATGTATTTTGTGCGTGATTGTTTTGCCAGCCAGCAGGTACATGCACCAGGAACATGCCTGGTGTCAGAGAAAATCATAAGGCATATGATCCCCGTGAACTGGAGCTACAGACAGTTGTGAGCCACCACGTGGGTGCTGGGAACTGAACCCAGGTTCTCTGCAAAGTAACAAGTGCACTTACTCACTAAGCCATCTCTCCAGCCACTGGAACCTTCGCTCCATCAGGTAACAGAGAACAAACCCACTGTGTCCTTACTGAGGCAGTAAACACCAGCACAGTACCTGACATGCACTTCAGCACTCGGCTCCCAAACAGCATTGTGCAGAAGGGATTTGCTACAGATGAGAAAGTAATAACCTGGCAAAGAGGCAGAGGAGGGTTCTTTTCTTCTTTACTCTTTCATTTCACAGAACAAAGGAAATGCAGGTACTTCCTTCACTCAGAATGCCCACTAGTCAGCCCTGGAACCCCAGGGACAGAATAGTTGTCAAGACTGTTTCCTTCAACACATTATCACACCACCAAGAGCAGCACTGAGCGCTGCCTGAAAATACTTACGTAAGCACATCATTTGGAGATTTCTGCTGTAGTTTCTTCCCCAAACCAAACCCAAAGAAGCACACAGCGAACATAGGGGTGACTCCAATCATGGGCGCAGCCATGCCCCGATATAGCCCTGTGATGCCCTGTAAGGAATCGCAGAAACAATCTGCTTTCATAGATACCACCACTCTACTTCAGCGCTAGGAATCAAGCCAAGGGCCAAGCAAAAGCTCACCTCTGAGCTGTACCCTAACTCACCACCACGGCCCAAGGGAGGCCACACCACCTCTAACCTGTGGCTTGCTTATTCATTTTTTCAAGCACAAGAGAGATATATTCTCCAGACCCCCGTGTGTGTGTGTGTGTGTGTGTGTGTGTGTGTGTGTGTGTGTGAGTGTGAGAGAGAGTCAGTCCTCATTATTATTATTATTTGAAACAGGTTATCTCTGTATAATCCTGGGTGTCCTGGAACTTGCTATGTAGACCAGGCTGGCCTTGAACTCACAGAGATCTGCCTGCCTCTGCCTCCCAAGTGATGAGAATAAAGATGTGCTTGAGATACAATGTGAGTTTAAGACAAGTCTGGGCAATTCAATAAAATCTTGTCTCAAAATAATTTTTTTGAGAGAGAGTCTCATTCTCTACCCCTGGCTGGTCTGGAACTCCTTATGTAGACCAAGATAGCTTTGAATTTTTTTTAATAAAATGATTTTTTAATTTTTTTATATTAATTACAGTTTATTTACCTTGTATCCCAGCTGTAGCCCCCTCCCTCATTCCCTCCCAATCCCAATATGCTAAGATTAAAGTCCTGCGCCACCATACTTGACCAAAAAAAAAAAAAAAAAAAAACATTTTTAAAGAACTTGAAGGTGGAGTGGAGTGGGATAGGCCTGGAGCTATGGATCATCAGTAAAGAGCCTCTCTGGACACCAGGTAAACATGTGGGGCACATACATACAGGCCAGCAAAAACAGTACTACACACAAAATAAATAAATCTTAAAAAGAAAAGGTATGGTGGCACACACCTGTAATACCAGCTCTCAGGAAACAGAGGCAAAAGGACTAAGAGTTCTTTCAAAAAAAAAAAAGGAAAAAAGGGAGAAAACACATAGTCATAATCAAAAATAATAAAGTGAAGGATGGAGGTATAGCTCAGAATACTTGGGATGCACAAGACCTGGATTCAATCCCTGGCACCTCTAAACAAAATAAAGGTGAAATAGAGCCAGTCACAAAAACATGATAAAAATTATATGGATATGCAAGGCAAAAAAACAAGAATAGGAACTGTACGAGTTAAACAGCCTACCACAACTAGGCGGCTAGAGAAGATTAAGATGTGTGTCAAGATGCATAAACATATGAAAATACAGTAGCAAATGCAGAGAGGCAGAAGCAGGGCCAGCAACTAAAGGAGCTGAGCGTCCTTGCCTCTGGAGCACGAGGAGGGAACAAGGACCACTTGACTGCTTTGCCTTTCAGGGGGAAAGTAAGTGCTTCTATAACCTTAAAAACAAGTAAAATGATTTTGGAAACAAATGCCAAAAACAAGATTTAAGACTGCTCCTGACACAGGGCAGACTGCACAATGGGAGGGCACCACAGACCCAGGTTGAAGACCTGCGTTCAATGCAGACCCAGCAAAATATACACCTTTCCTTTTGAGAGCCAAAGGGCACACATGTACCTATTAAGACTCCTGGTAGCTTGGCGGTGGTGGTGCGCACCTGCGATCCCAGCACTCGGGAGGCAGAGGCAGGTGGATCTCTGTGAGTTCAGGCCAGCCTGGTCCAGGACAGCCAAGGCTACACAGACATTGTCAAAGAAAGAAATAGAAGAAAATGGAAGGAAGGAAGGAAGGAAGGAAGGGAGGGAGGGAGGGAGGGAGGGAGGGAGGGAGGGAGGGAAGGAAGGAAAGAAAGAAAGAAGGAAAGAAAGAAAGAAGGAAAGAAAGAAAGAAAGAAAGGAAAGAAAGAAAGAAAGAAAGAAAGAAAGAAAGAAAGAAAGAAAGAAAGAAAGAAAGAAAAAGAAAAAGAAAGAAGGCAGGCAAGAAAGACAGACTCCTGCCCACGGGAGCCTGGCAATGCCACAAGCTGCAGGAGCACTCTCCATGGGCAAAGTACAGAAGCAATACACAGGCATGGGACAGAGAGCTAGGAGGGCGGTACCAGAGCACAGGGTGACACAGCCCCATCAGTCTCCCCAGCAGCTCTACATTGGGATGAGAAGGATGCCCAGTTCCTCAGGGGCCACACGTGGCTCCTGACAACTCATCCAGTCTTCCTCTACTCCAATGGTCAGCCAACTTCATGGAGATGATTCTTATCTGGCAACTCCAGAAAACAGAGCTAAATCTGGAACACTGAAACAGGGAGGTAGCCGGGTGTGGTGGCGCATGCCTTTAAACCCAGTACTCGGGGAGCCGGAGGCAGGTGGATTTCTGTGAGTAGAAGGTCAGTCTGGTCTACAAAGCTGTCCCTGAGTCCAGGACAGCCAAGGCTACACAGAAATCCTATCTCAAAAACAAACAAACAAAAAAAGAAAAGCCAGGAAGCTGTACAAATAAGGACTGGAAGCCTGCTACGTTCTGTTAGGCCTCTACTGTTTTCTTTCTGTTTTTTTTTTTTTACACTGTATTTCCCGCGCTGGATTCCAACTCACCTCTGGCGATCCTCCTGCCTCAGCCTTCTGGGAAATCTATAAATATGTGCTACTTTGGCCTGCCTTAGGAGCTGGATTTTACATAAGCTCTGCCCCCAACACCCAAGATATAGACATTCATACACATAATTTTTTAAAAATCATATTCTATTAAAATTATATAAACAAATAACCCCTAACACAAATGTCCTTATCTAGGAGTACAGAGACTCTGCTGGCCTCTTTTTCTCCAAATTTCACATACTTCTTTATGTTGGATTTTCTTGTCTTTTTTTTTTTTTTTCCAGATATATTTTATGAATGCATATATGTATGTGCACGTGTGTCCTGGTGTCCTCAAAGGTCAGAAGAGGGTTTTCGATCCCCTGGAACTGAAGTTATAAATGGTGAGCCACAGTGTGGGTGCTGGGTACCAAACCTGGGTCTTCTTTAAGAAGAACAAGTGGGGCTGGAGAGATGGCTCAGTGGTTAAGAGCATTCACTGGCTACTCTTCCAGAGTTTGGTTCCCAGCACCCACATGGCAGCTCACAACTGTCTGTAGCTCCAGTTCCAGGAGATCTGACATCCTCTCACAGATAAATATGTGAGCAAAACACCAACACATATAAAAATAAAAGATAAACGTGTTCTCAACTGCTGAGCCATTTATCTAGTTTTACTCTTTTCTGATACAGGAGGCATTCTCCGTGTAGCCCAGGCTAACCTTGCACTATGATCTTCCTAGCCTAGCTTCCCAAGCGCTGGGATTACAAGCATGCACTGCCACATGGCAAGATGTGAATTTTTATCCAGTTCACAGCTTCAATTACACCCTGCTAATTCTCCATTGCGTGCTTCCACCATCTGTAAGAATGAAGCATTTTATTGGCTTCATTCGCCTATATAACCGGTAGGTAGCTGGAATTAACAGGCTCCATAGCAGATGAAAAGGACATGGCTAGGGAGCAAGGGCTGTGGCCAGCACAACTGTCTTCTTCCCCAGTGGGCCATACCAACCCGAGTACAGCCCTCTGCGCAGCACCAGAAGCGTACCTCTCTAACAAGAGTCTTCCGGAAACAGTCGATGGTCCCAGAGTACATAGGTGGCTGTCCAGGCAAATTTGCCGGTTGTGTCTGCAGTCGGACCTGAAACCAGAAACCAGCGATGATCCAACCCTCCTCTTTTCTCCCCCTTCCTCCTCCTTGTGCTTTTTACAGTGCTGGAGCCTGAACCTAGGAGTTTGTACAAGAAACTTTCCCACTGGGCTATATCCTCAGCCCTTCAACTTCATTTAAACAGGGAAATATTTGTTTGTTTGTTTGTTTGTTTGTTGTTTGTTTGTTGAGACAGGGTTTCTCTGTGTAACAGCCCTGGCTGCCCTGGAGCTGGATCTGTAGACCAGGCTGGCCTTGAACTCACAGAGATCCACCAGGCTATGCGGCCTGAGTGCTGGGATTAAAGCTACACACCACGACCACCCAACAAAATGTGCATCTTTGTAGACATCTTCATCATTTTCTTCATCTAATTGACTCAGACTTCACTTTTATTCCATTAGCGTTTTCGTAAGGCAGGATTTCTGTGTAGAAGTACTAATTCTTTAAAAAAAAATGTTTATTTTTATTTTGTGTATATGAGTGCTTTGCCTGGCCATATGTATGTTGTATGTATACCATATGCATGCAGCGCCCAGAGTCTGCCAGAACTTCTGGAACTAGAGTTAAAGACAGTTGTGAAATGCTATGTGGGCGCTGGGAACTGAACCCAGGCCCTAAGCAAGAACAGAAAGCGCTCTTAAGCTGAGCCAGGTCTCCAGCATCTCATTCTTTTACAAGCATGTTTTATATTTATTCTTTGACAATCTCATACACATATAAAATGTACCTCATGTAAATAATCTACATCATTCCTATTTCCTCCACACACATACCCCCAACAATTTCATTCTTTTTACTGGCAAATATTTAATAGGATACCAAATTTTATTCATATATATATATATATATATATTCATCAACACCATGCTTGATTTTATGTGAAACTGGGGCTTGAAACCAGGGCTTCATGCAGACTAGACAAACATTCTACCAGTAACTATGCTACATGCCCAAACCATTAGGCATCTTCTTCACTATTTCACAAAAACCACACTGTGCATTTAGGGAGTAAAGACAGAAGAATCAGGAGTTGAAGGTCATCTTTGGCTACATAAGAAGTCCAAGGCCAGACTGGGCTACAAAAGAATCTATCTCAAAAAGAAATAGACCAGCTGGGCAGGAGTGGTGCAAGCCTTTAATTCTAGCACTCAGGAGGCAGAGGCAGGTGGACCTCTGAGTTTAAGGGCAGCCTGGTCTACAGAGAGAGTTCCAGGACAGCCAGGGCTACACAGAGAAACTGTCTCAAAAAAAAAAAAAAAAAAAAGAGAGAGAGAGAAAGAAAGAAAAGGAAGAGATTAAGAGACCTAAGGCAGACCACCCACCTAAAGTGCCCCCAAAATAAGACTCACAAAGATTATGAGCATTAATGGGTCTTGTCTTTAGCCCCCTAAGGCTCAGGGCAAAGTTTTACTTGTAACAGAAGCACTTCTGTAGTCTGTTTTCCAAATGCCTCTAAACAGCTATCCTCTCACCAACCTGTCCAGAACCTCGTTTCAACATGCTCTTCCACTTCTGCATAAATCTTTATTGTTGCTTATGTTAGGACCTTCTATGCCCCAGTAAGGAAGCTGTTCACTACACAGTAGGGGTGACACTCAAATTTGTGGGGTTTATGGGACACAACAGTCATAATGTCCAGTGGCTACCACTGTTTTTCATCAGAAGACCCTTATGTACACCTCCAGGCTGGCTCAAAGTCAGGTAGGCATAATTTCCCACCAAAGGGGGCAAAATCTTTATTTGGCTGGGCACTGACGGTACACGCCGTTAGTCCTAACACTCAGGAGGCACTGGTGGGAAGATAGAGTTCGAGGTCAGTCTAGTCTACAGCATGAGTTCCAGGACAGCCAGGGCTACACATAGAAAAACGGTCTCAGAAACAAAACAAAGCAAACAGAAAAAGAACTTTATTTTGGGTTAGAAAGATGAGATTGCTTAGTGGTTAAGAGCACTGGACTGGAGTTCAATTTCCAGCACCTATGTTGGGTGGCTACAAGTACGAGAAACTCCAGCTCCGAGGAAATCTGATACCTCTGACCTCCATGGTCACCTTCAGTCACGTGAACACACACACTTAATAAATAAATAAATAAATAAATAAATAAATAAATAAATAAATAGATAAAAATATTTATAAAATAGGGAGGGATTGGGACGGGAGGAGGGAGAGAACCACAGGGGGTATACAAAATGAATAAAATGTAATTAATAAAGAAAATAAAATATATTTATAAAATGTTTCCTTTAGGTGGTCTTATTTATTTATTTGTGATTTTGTTTTGCGACAAGGTTTTTCTGTGTAGCCTTGGCTGTCCTGGAATTCACTCTGTAGACCTGGCTAGCCTCCAATTCACAAAGATCCACCTGCCTCTGCCTCCTGAGTGCTGGGATTAAAGGCAAGTGCCACCAAGCTTGGCTTCAGTCAGCTTTTCAATGCCTGCTCCAACACTGCCATCCACAAAAATTTTCCAAGCCCCAGTTCTGAACTGTGACAGTTCTTAGTAAACAGGATATGTGAGCCATAGCTCAGTTGCTTTGAAACTCTGGAAGAACCTTCAAGTTCTTGGGAGGTAGAAAAAAGATCAGCAGAAGTTCAAGGTCATCTGCAATTTAATGGGTTTGAGGCCTGAATAGGATACACCACTATATCTCAAAAAACAAACAAACAAAAACAAAACCAGACACCCACAGCAAATCACAAAAGCATCAGGTGTTAGTTGACCACCTGGCTCTGTGGGGTCAAAAGAACAGCAGTCCGCTGTGGTTTTGGTTTACACTAAAAGAAAAAGTCTTCTGGTGTCAACATGCCAGTGAGCATTTTCAGTCATTTATAAGTCAGTACAGAGGTCACTGGGCCGTTGCTGGGAGTACCATCAAGAACAAGAGGGTACAAGAAAGGAGCAACGCTTACACAAGGAGACAAGGACGTTTTTTTTGTTTGTGTTTTTGTTTTTAAGTCTCAGAGGTATAGAACAAGATTTCTGCCTCTGGAGAATAAGGTTAGGAATAAAGTCCAAACATACTTTCCCTCGCTAGAGTTGAGCCAGCCACTGCCTAAGCACCAACAAGCAGCTTTCACTGCTGCTACAATCTGATTTCACACGGCAATACTACAGAACCCACCCCCTAAACGAGCCCTGTCTTCAGTTCACTCCTCAACAGAGCCTGCTGGCCAAGCTTGCCAACAGATACTGTTGACAAGAGCTCTTGGATAGTGTTTTCTTTTTCCTATCAAGTCTCCACAGAGGTTACCGCTCTTCATGAGATTCATGTCTTCTCTGGGTTCCTTGCCTCAGCAACACACATCTACACACACAAGACTCATGTCTTCTCCTCACAGGCTCATCCTGGCTGACCTGTCCTTTTCCTTCAGGTCTGTGGCCAGGAAAAACAAAACATAGTGAGTCTTTAGGAGCTAAGTCATTGGATATAGACTTTGGTCTTCAGAAAACCTTGCTGAGAGTGCCCCAAGGGGAGGAATGGAGGGGTGAGGAGAGGAGGGTCTAGGAAGCGCTCTAGCACTCTTCCTCTGTCTCAGGCCTCTTCCTCACCTGAGCCTGGCTGATCACCATCGCTTCCTATAGGGGTGACTACACAATAAGTTACGCAGCTTACCCTGCAGTGAGTGACTGGCAGAAAATGGCCAAGTGCTTCTTGAGGCAAAGAAAGGTGCACAAGAGAAGGCTATGCAGCACAGTGGTTTCATGGGACTGTGTCAAAGGACATCTCTGGCACCTTAGTGCTTTGTTTTTTGGGGAGGCTAAGTCTACAGATGTTTCAACCTTTATAGCATTATTAGGGTTAACTGGAAGCAGGTTTGGAGAGAAAGGGTTTTTTTTCTCATCTCCAAAGAAGTGGTGTGGGGGTCAGAAAGGACGGTCACGCGAAGATACTGAAATAGGAGCTGTCTGGCTCTCAGGACCAGCCTCTGCCCACTCCCCAGAGAATGACTGGCGAGGGGTTGAATGTTTTGTGTGTTTTGTTTTAAGGTGCTGGAGGGTTGAATGCAGAGCCTTCCCCCCGGTTAGGCAGACCAGCGCTCTGCGGGTCAACTGCATCCCAACCCCCTGTGAACTTCCCACGCAAGCACCCACCCGTCCCACCTCTGTCCCGAGACCCGGGGGACCCTACTCTCCGCGTCCCCTCGGGCCCTCCCTCCCCGCCAAGCCCCAAATCCAGACTCCGCGCACCTTGACCGTGTCCAGGGGGTGCCCTACGAACACCAGGCACATGCCGCCAAAGCCGCCGGCCAGGAAGTTCTTAACCGGACTGATGGGTTTCGGCTCGTCGGCCATGGTCAGCCTTCCGTCAGTTCACCTGGCAGCTCCCGGCCGTCCTAGGTCCTGCTGTGCTGCCCCGCAGCTCCACTGACCTTTCACCTACATTACGGTGGGCGGGGCCTTGGGCGGGTCAGAAGGCGGGTCCAGCGGGCCTAGGCTGGCTTCCGCCCGGAGTCTACTTCCGGCTTCTGCCCCGCCTTCGTGGGCGGGGCTTTCCCCAATGCTGTCTGGGAGGGGTTTCGGAGTGTCTGTTATGGTTTTACTCCTCCAGGAAGTCTTCTTGGATTTGACGTCTTCTTTCTCTGGTCCTCTGTGGTGCTATGTATCCGTGCACTCCTCAGAAGCCACATACACCCTTTTACGTGCCAGCCACTCTTTTTTAGGTGCTGAACAACGACAGAAGAACAACACGCAGGTACCTGTCTTTAATAGTTTGATAAACCCTGACAAAGTGAAAGATGCATAGTAGGTCATATGGTAAAAATTGCTCTGTATGAAAATAAGTCTGGGAAGAATGAAACTGTGGGAGACAAATAATCTGTAACTCTAATTAGTTAAACAAGAGAAGAAGATCTCACTGGGGTGGTAAAGAATTAAGATCTGGATTAAGAGCTGGGCCCAGAGGCACACACCTGTAATCCCAGCAATCAGGGAAGCAGAGATAGGTGGATGACTGTGAATTCAAGGCCAGCCTGGTCTACAAAGGAGTCAAGGACAGCCAAGGCTACACAGAGAAATCCTGTCTTGAAACAAACAAAGGTGAAAAGAAAATCTGAGGTAAGAAAATGTGTCCTGTCTGTAGATACTGGGTAGAGGATGAAGGACCTTTCTGGCAGAAGATTTTAAAAATGCAAAAACTCGGGCTGGAGAGATGGCTCAGAGGTTAAGAGCACTGGCTGTTCTTCCAGAGGTCTTGAGTTCAATTCCCAGCAACCACACGTGGCTCACACACAACCATCTGTAATGAGATCTGCTGCCCTCTTCTGGTCTGCTGGCACATATGCAAGGCAGACCACTGTATAAATAATAAATAAGTAAATCTTTTTTAAAAAATGCAAAAACTCCAAGATGATCTGTCCTGTCCAGTCAGAGAAACCATGGGGGGGGGGGGGGGGGGGAGTAGCTGATGAGAACAGAGAAGAAATGGAGATTAATCAAGAGGAACTTTGTGTATCATTGTAAGGACCTCAGTCTCTTCTGTAACGCGTTTTAGACAGATAATAACAATCTGAGATGAGACTTAAAAACAAAACAGTGCTTCTTAAAAAGTAAAACAGGGGGGCTGGAGAGATGGCTCAGTGGTTAAGAGCACTGTCTGCTCTTCTAAAGGTCTTGAGTTCAATTCCCGGCAATCACATGGTGGCTCACAACCATCTATAATGTGAACTGATTCTCTCTTCTGGCAGGTGTAAACGCAGATAGAACACTCATATACATAAAATAAATAAATTTTAAAAAAAGAATAATTAAAAAAAAAAAAGCAAAACAGTATCCCTGTTAACTGCTGGAGAAAACAGCAAAGAGAAAACCAAGAGGCTTGAGAGGGTTAGAGAAAAGGTCATGAGCAGAGATGTTGGCTTAGACCAGGGCATGGCAGAGATGGTAATGAGAAGTGTCAGACTGGTGAATGTATTCTAAAGGAAAACCCAAACAGCCAGTCAATGAGTAGAAATACCATGTGTAGGAGCTGGACAGATGGCCCAGCAGCTCGGAGGACCAGCTGCTCTCACAGAGGACCCAAGTTCCATTCCCAGCACACTCATGGTAGTTCACAACTGTCTAAAACTACAGTTCCGTTAGACCCTCTTTTGGCTTCTATGGGTACACATACATTCACGGAGGCAAAGATTCAAAGACACAAAATAAAAATGAATATGTATCTTAAAAAAAAAAAAGGTTTGTGAGCTGGGCAGTAGTGGTGCAAGCCTTTAATCCCAGCACTTGGGAGGCAGAGGCAGGCGGATCTCTGTGAGTTCAAGGCCAGCCTGGTCTACAGTGCAAGTTCCAGGACAGCCAAGGCTACACAGAAAAACCCTTTCTCAAAAAACCAAAAAATATAATAATAATAATAATAATAATAATAATAATAATAATAATAATAATAATATTTGTGTGAGAGAGTTAGGAGATGATGCTGATGTCTTTAGCAACTAGAGAAAAGACATATCTTTAATTGAGGCTGAGGAAGAGCCAGGAGAGAGGATGGTAAAATATATTTTAGATGTAATTAGTTTAAGATTTCTATTAATAGATTTTTTTTTTTTTGAGACAGAGTTTCTCTGTGTAGCCTGGCTGTCCTAGACTCACTTTGTAGACCAGGCTGGCCTGGAACTCACAGAGATTCATCTGCCTCTGCCTCCCACACCCAGCTCATAGATCTATCTCTTGATCCAGGATTCTGAAGAGAGGCTCAGGCTAATGGTTACATTTGGTATTAATCAGTCCCATCAAGGGAGTGTGCTACACCTACGCCAGTGTCGCCGTAGTAGCATATGCTACAGGGCGGGAGATACGCTTTCTCTGGAAATTCACCCCCTGGAAGGTCCCTGGCAAACTCATCCCACTTGGAAAAGAGACGAGTTCTGAGATTTCTAAGCTTTTTCAGTTGTGGCTCTGGGGCTGGAATAATGGATTCTTTGATCTTTCTCTGTGACTCCTGAAACAGAACAACTAATTTTATAAAGAAATTTATTATTAGTAGATTGTTAAAGGCTTTAATAAAAATAATAAGTTTAAGAAAAGTAATGAATTAGATTTAGTATTAATAGGCATTATAAGAATAGTGAAAAAATAATAGGCTCCTTCTTAAGAAAAAATAACATGAGAAGTACAGCTGGCACGAGTTTACCCCTCCCTTCAGCATCTTGTTTCTAGGGAAGATCATAAATCTTTAGCAGGACATAAGGGAGGATGGTTGACAAAGGTGTGTTTAGACTTTGGCAGGTATTCGACTTGGCTCGGAGGACTATTACAGCTCCTGACTTTCCTCTTCACTAGTCAGTGATAATGAAACCATAGTTTGAGGTTTTTGTTTCTTGTTTGCGTTGATCAGAAAGTTTCTAGGCAAAGATTTCTTATGGGCACTGCCCTATGTTAAAACAAACTTTGGGGGGGGGGG